ATGCATGTGAGGAACCCGCTCTGACGGTTGTCTGAGGATAGCGTTGTTTTTATTTTCTTTGTTTCTTTGAATTCTCTACTAGCTTTCTTCGTCGAATTTTGGATGTTATAGATGATTGCTACTATTTGAATCAAGTTTGGTTTTAGTTCTACTATTTATTCTCTTGTTCTTGGCTTTTCTAACTAGTGTGCTTACATCAACAACAATGAATGTTGCATTGGTTAGGATAGTGTCCACAAGGGAAGGCCGGCAATGAAGACACTACAAAAGGAAAAAATTATTTTCAGGGTTGCGGCAAGCTTGAAGGACAATAGTAGAAAAACACGTTTTAAGCGACTCAGCACTTGGGACACAAATCCCCTTCTCGTCTGATCGAGCTAGCCTTTAACCCAATGCAAATTAATCATCTGGCTCCACCTAGGCACTTTTGTTTGATCGATCCCTTACAAGCGCACGTAAGGCCTCTGATCCCTTCGGTTTGATTGTAGGAAGGAGTGCAGTTCTTGCCTCTTACTTGTCCCGGCCACTAGAGGGAACTCTGATCTCTTTCCATACGCACATAAGAGGTCTTGTGCTTGACTTCTCTTGCTTTTGATCGGTTGACTCTCGACATTGCACGTGAGAGGACCCCTCTCGCTCAGTCTCTCCTCGGTTTGGATTCACGAAGGAAGCATAAGGATCAATATTCCTTAGAATTCCAGCAATGAAGGCTGGAGGAAGGACTAATATTTCTCAGAATTCCAGCAATGTTGATTGGTGATGGGAACCTGTATTCCTCATAATTCTGGCAATGAAGGCCGATGGTGGTAACCTGGAGAACCAGCAAGCGACAACTCTTTTAGTGTAGGATAAAGTGCTTTCAATCTTTCTGTAGACTCATCCTCGCTATCCATGGATGACGAAGATCTTTTACTGTATAAGGGCAAGGTTTGTGTGCCTAATGTTGATGATTTGAGGAAGGATGTTCTTTATAGCATGTTTAGATTGAAGTTAGCCATCTTGTATATTTTGAAAACTCTTTTTGGAATGAAATTATAAAAGGTTTAGAGGCGCTTTTTGTTTTTTTTGAAGATTTCAATGAATGGTTTTATTTGTTTGAAGAATGATTAGTTAAATTATATTACATGTCCGATCTCGTTCCCGCCTCGTATCTACGAGCTAACCGGGCCGGGTCGTGACAGATTCCGTCAGCGACGACGAGGAAGGTAGGAACGTGGTTTACGAAGTTGTGCTCGTTTGATTTGAGGGATTGATCCCAGTGGCGGAGATCTTGGGATATATTTACTTCTTTTGTTGTCCGGAAGGAGGCTTCAACCTTTTTGTACATTTCTCAAATCTGAGGGTAGTGGATCGGAAACATGCATAAGCAATCAGGATTTGGGGCAAGGAGGAGCTTTTCAAGTGGAGGATTTTATGGCGTGTACATCAGTTCTTCAACCGTTCGTTGTTTGCTTGGTTCGACTCCAACACATATGATGGTTGGCTGTCCCTACTCAGGCACACACTGTTGGCTCAAGAAAAACGGCACGAATGCATGAATCCCGCTTTATAACCGTTGGATTCCATCTTCATTGAGTCAGATTATAGTTAATCAGATTTCCCCCTGAGGTTGGTGTCAGGGTTTAATTACTCTTGATCTAGGGTCTTTACTTTCCATGAGCGCAAGCACTCATAGTTCATTACCCCTTTTAACACATATGAGAGAACTCTCGATTAAGGATGAACAATTTTTTTAGGTGTTTTAGTCTCAATTGTGGGAAAATGAAGGTAAACCCGATCAAGATCCTATGGTTCCTTTGTCCTGGGTATATCGTAGGTTTCAGTCTACTAACACTAATAATCATTGACTGTAATATCTAGGGAATCTGATTAGCAGCCATGGGTTTCCTCCTCTCAGGGATCCCAAGTAAATTGAGGTGGTTAAATACAAATTTTAATTTATTGGGGGTTTTGGGGTTTACATCTATTATGATACCCAGAAATTAGTTTGGTTCGAGATTTATAACTTCGTTTAGAAGTTACACAGAAATTTGAATTTAAGCGGGTCTTACGATTTCTCTTGGAAGTAGCTAGATGTTTGAATTTGAGTCGGGACTTAATGACTTTCAGAAAGTAGCCCGTAGGTTTAATTTGAATTGTGGCTTGCAACTCTTTAGGAGTTGCCCAAAGATGGGTCTTACAACCAAACTCTACAGCAAGACTGCCCAGTAATTTTGTTTGGATTTGGGGTAGGTCTTATTATTTCCCTTAGGAAGTTGCCTAAAAGTGGGTCGTACAACTTTATCCTTTAGACTTAGATGTCCATTTGTTTTATTTGGATTTGAGATTAGAATTATGATTTCCCTTATATTCAAGAGATATGGAAAGCCATTCTAGTCACCTGCAGGCAGTATTGCAAATATTAAAGGAGAATAAGTTGTATTCCAAATTTTCATAGTGTGAATTTTGGCTGAGCAGTGTTAATTTTCTGGGGCATGTGATTAGTGGTGAAGGAATTTCAGTTGATCAGAATAAAATTCAAGCTATATGAGATTGGCCAAGGCCAACGACAGTTTCAGAGGTGAGGAGTTTTCTAGGACTTGCTGGTTACTACAGGAGGTTTGTAGAGGGATTTTATCAGATTGCTGAAAAATTCTTGTGAATCCTTCATCTTTACTATATGTTCCTGTTTAATATCTTTTTTTTTTAATTTTATTTTTGCGAACACACACGTAGTTCTTGCTCGCTCCTTGTAATGAACCGAATGGGTGGCCGGTTCAAC